ACAGTACAGCATATGAACAAAGTTACAATTTTTCACTTGCCTTTCCAGAAGTATCAACTTTGCTCTGAATGCCTTGATAAGTGCAAATAAATCACAGACTAAGTTATTTTCACCCTGCAACTTTAAATTCAAATGGTTCATAAGGTTCACCAGATCAGCAAAAAATGCTATTTCCAAAGCCACTCGGTATCTGATAAAAGTGGTTCGTATCGAACTGCAGTATAATATAACAGGTCAGTAAGCTCGGAATCACATTTACCAGTACTCACTGGAAAATTAGTTCAATTGGCGCATTTCTGCACAATTCTTTCGCGGCCCGGATAAAATCACATTGCGGGCCGTAGTTTGGATACCCTTGGTCTAGATAGTGTGGGACCCTCAACGTCACACAAACCTATGGCTCTTCACGGCCTGGTACAGTGATAGCTTCACTTATTGTGTCATGACCGCCCGATATCGAATTGTACAGCCAGAAAAAATTGCAGTTACTAGACAATAGCTCGTTAAACAATTCTTTGACTCAACGAATACACACACAATAGAACCGTCGGAAACGGTGTTTTCTATAACGTCCATACAGTAAACTGCACTGAAGGTTAGTCGCGAGTGGTATGCCGACAGGAGTCGTCTCTTGTAGTTGGTGGTTAGCTGTGAGCACTGAAGCAGATGAAACTCCTTTGTTAGAAGCCGCTAACAAACAACGACAAGTGAAGGTATAACAAACAGAGTTGACATAGCGTATGCTGTAGTGATTTATAGAGTGTGTAAATTAGTTATAGTGTTAGAAACGTATGCATTTACGGGCCATAAACGTTCAGCAAATCTAATTAACAATCCAAACTCCGTTTCTAGTCACTTATACGTGAAAATGTGTTTCGGAGTCAAATATTGCATTGGTGTTACTTGCTTGAACACAAATTCTTAATTGCAATATCATGTCACAAATATTACAGTTGTTCTTGTTCACTACAGTCCTTCAACTGTAATATTCTGTTCAAATTCACAACATTTCTTTCCCTGTGTTTTCTTTATAACTTCATGATTTAATGATCATGCTTCACACTCTGTGTTTTGATTGACGAGTTCTGTTCCTCTCCTGCACGTCAACTTCATTCCTTAATTAACCTGTTTGTTACATGTTTTAAAATGTGACTTTTTTTTCTGTTGTTTCAGATACCATGGCTGATACGTGGTTTCTGATGGGCAGCCCAGCGCCCATTTTGTGCATTGTGGCATCTTATCTCTACTTCGTCCTCAAACTTGGGCCCAAACTAATGGCTTCACGTAAACCCCTCAATATGAAACCTTTTCTTTTGGCCTACAACTTCTCTATAGCGGTCCTAAGTCTCTATGTTGCCGTGATGGTAAGTCTACGTTTGTAAGATTTGAGGCTTTCACGGCGGTGACTATGAAGAAAGCAGTCTTCTGGGATTTGGCACCGTGTATATATGGTGTTAACCGACGTTTCGGTTACCGGTTCTCACGGTCTCTTCGCTTGCAGATTTCTTATATTTTTTCTTCTACCCTGAAGATGGAGGCGATACGTTCCTCCGAAACGTCGGTTAACACCACATATACACGGTGCCAAATCCCAGAAGACTGCTTTCTTCATAGTCACCGCCGTGAAAGCCTCAAATCTTACANGGAATACGAAGAACATAAGAGAAGCCTCAAGAATTTCAGTGAGTCATAAATAGTTCTTCTGTTTGTGAGATACTTATGTTTAACTTATGCGATGGAAATGATAGTATGTTGTTATGAAACACCCTTCTTCTGGTGTCGAAATATTCGATTTCCTTTATTCTGACTACACCCTTAGCCTCTGAGCAGGTTTCCATCCAATGTTGTTGGTGGAATATTTCACAGGTATGAAAACTGGACATGCATGCCAAAATCACAGAATTTTTTACAAACAGAATAGACTTCTGATTATCCCCTCCTCTCGTCGGACCGGAGGCCCAATTACAAAACACGTAAAAGTCTGGATAGAATAAAATAAACTTTCGAGAAATCCATTTATCAGTTCAAACCCAGTGTCTAGCCACTTAAACGTAATAATATCTTATACAGAATCTGTAGGTATGTTTGTTTATAACACGTATGGCCCCTTACCAAATTTTAACTTGCTAGCTCCAGTGATTCATAAGTTATTGCCATCAAACCGAAAACTAAATAGGCCCTACAGATTTCATGCGGCGGTCATGTTATTATATTGTATTCTACAGAATATATTGTCTTAACAACTGGTTAATACTTTTCAAAGTTATATAACCATTCACCGTTTTAGGTCTTTGGATTAATTGCCGCTAACATTGCTCTCTTCTCTTATATACTCGTGTATCCGCCATGTTGTTATTACCAACTAAAAAGAAGTAAAGCTATTCCTGTAACAAGCCGTGAAGCTCCATAGGGTTCTGAGACGTTGAGGCTCCCACATTTTCTAGACAATCTGCTCACAGATGGCGGTAAGGTTGTCAGCCATATGCGTCGGCCGCCCTTTACTCCCCAGGAAGATTATTTAATTAATTCCTGGTACTCATTTCTGTTACAGACTAAGTCGACCCCAAGGCCATAGTGTGGCTGGAGGGATTACGTCAATTGAAAAAAAAATCCAATGATTTCATCGGGACTTGAACCCGCGACCTTCCGGCTTGTAGCATAGTGCCTCAACCAACTACGTTACCGCGTGCACTATCTACACATATTCTACGTGGATGACTTCGACTATCAGTTTTCGAGAAACTCAAACTTTCAGCTATGCCGATCCATAATAAAGCCATTCCACCTAAGGAGGCTATAAGCCGGAAGGTCTCGGTTTCGATTCCCGACGAGGTCCTTCGATTTTTCAATTGACCTAATCTTTCCAGCCGCAATATAGCCCTGGGTTCTACTCAGCCTCTAACAGAATGAGTACCAACAATATTCTTGGAATGTTATTTGGGGGGGGAGGGGGGTAAAGTGCGGCGGGCGCGTAGGGCTGACGACCTTGCCCCCATCTATGAAGTTTGTCTAGAAAATGTGGGAGCCTCGACGTCATACAACCGTATGGGCCTCCACGGCCTGTTACAGGGAGAGTTTTACATTTTTTACTTAATATTCTATTTGAGTGATATTGCATTTTTATGATTCTCGTATTTTTTTCCAAAAGTACTATTTAGTTTTCCACTTATGCTATGAAAAATTATTTTCACACTTTTAGAAACCATTTCAACTACGAAGGGCACAGAATGTCCTTCCGCGTATCAGCCCGTGAAGCTTGAATCCACCACTGTAGCCAGTCTTACGAAATAACTGCAGTTGTAAACAGGTTTCACGTCTGGAAGAGTAACGAACCAACAACAATGGAACACATGTTTTAACACAACAGGTTTGAAGGAGAAAATAACGGTGCATTAGCTTGTACAAATATAAAATATAACCCAATACAGAAGGCTCTAGTTTAGCAGGTGGCAAGTTATGTAGAGATATTGTTTAGAAAACTGACTCGAGTGTCCTATATTAAAAAATAATTTTCATATCAAATTGCTTCTTAAAAATGAACAGGTACAAAGAGAAGGGAGTTTCTTTTCAAGTTCGAATATGTGCTTGGGAATTCGCGAACGCTTTCTTTGCTCGGGTTTCGTTTGTAATCTGTAGAAACGGCACAACAGTTTCTCAGAAATCATACTCATGTTTCTACCGATATCGATCCAGTAAATTACACTTCCAAACGCGTGTGTAGTTTTATAAATCCCAATTCACAAGTTAGTTACATATCATTATACTAATTATAAGTGTTTTATAATTATCCGGATAAACTCATTTCCCATGCACCCAAAATAATCGGAAGTCTATCTATCTATCTATCTATCTATCTATCTATCTATCTATCTGTCTGTCTGTCTGTCTGTCTGTCTGTCTGTCTGTCTGTCTGTCTGTCTATCTATCTATCTATCTATCTATCTATCTGTCTGTCTGTGGCTCTACAACCTTTGTGAACCTTGACTGCTTTTTCAGGTTCTTATTCTGTACGCAGTTGTCAGGACTCCTTGGACGGGGGATCAGCCCGCTACCTACACACAGAACAACAAACACCGAATAAACACACAGACATCCATACCTCGAGCGGAATTCAAACCCACGATCCCAGTGTTCGGGCGAGCGAAGACGGTTCTTGCCCCAGACCGCGCGGCCACTGTGACCGGGTGTCAGTGGTATAGAGTATGAATAATAAATCAGTGTGTCGGTAGGGCAGCGGCCTCCAAGACCTCGAGTGGGAAGCGAGGAGTAGGTCGCACACAGCTTGCTTGAGCTCCGTCCTCCTGCCCTTCCATGCTAACAGAATCGTCCCATTAAAGGAACTACACTCGGTCAAAGTTTTAGTTACCTGGTTATTCGGGTTTTCTTAGACAGTGATACATTTTTCTTGTTTCAGTCAGGACTGACAAGTCAGATTCGAATGCCGACGTGGTTTCCAGCTCTAATGGCGGACTTTTTATGTGGAGTTTCCTCAGTCTCTCCAGCGAATGCAGCGAGAGTACGTACAAACAGATCGCGATCCCCTCCTTCCAGATTCCAACCCACTCACAACTGACGTCGCCGTATAAGGCCTGCATCAGAAACAACTTCGTAACAATATCCCAATTCGTTTGATCCTGCATTCATAAATAACAATTTACCTCATTCGATGGACAGTCTCTGTGGACTGGTGGTCAGAGTTCCTGGCTATAGATCCTGAGGTCCGGGTTCGAGAAGTACTGAATCTGGAACGGGGTCCACTAGTGAGGATAATTGAGGAGCCATTTCAAGAAAACAGCGGCTCCGGTCTAGAAACCCGAGATTAACGGCCGTGGGGAATCGTTGCGCCGACCACGCGACACCCTCTATCCGCTAAAGTTAGTACCCACTATCGTCGACAAGCGGTATAGTTCGCTGGCGAACTAAAGCCAAGGAGTTTGTTTCGTTTCTACCTCATTCGATTCTTTATCAACGCTGAGGTCGACTCAGCATAATTGGACAGATAACGAGCAAATATATTATTTAGTACGCTTCCGTGGGAGCGCTGAATGCGTAAGTAGGTCGTCGTGTACGTCCGCGTGTTATTTAACTACTTGGGCGATCTTCTGTGTGAAAAAAAATAATGTCAGCGATTATGCAGGGACGGTCTATGCCGGTGTGGGAACCTGCTCTGTGACCCTGCCTCAAGAAATAAAGGTGACACACTTCTAGCAATTCATTGAAAGTCCTATACTCTTGGGAAGCTGCGACTTTAGTCACTTACCTGTGAAGAACCACCTATGGTTTCCTAGTCTTACCCGTACAGAAGATGCATACAGATGTACGCTTCTTCAAGGGACCTTGTCGATGCAGCGGGGGGGGGGGCAAGCGGAGCGCTAGGTGCAGATTCGTGGCGTATGGTCTGGACCCGACACGTGGACTTACATACAGATGCAGTGAGAATAATCCACTAAATCCTCATTTTAACGAGCTCCTCGTAGCTTCACACAAGTCAGAAGTGGTGCCCAAACCGTAACGGAGCAGTACAGAGATAGGAAAGACCCTTGATGGTGAAACAAGAGTTGAAATAGTCGTAATTCTATCGGAAACAGACGTGGCCATTCCCTATATGGTGTAGTACTGTGAATGTTGGGACAATGTGGCAGCTGTTCTCACGCAAATGGGATGAATAGAGACGGCAAAAATATATAGAATGAAATAAGCCGCACGTGGTAATGTAGGGCAGTAATGTGAAGGAAGGAAAACTTGGCAGTCAAATTCCATTCCCCCCTTCCCGCCACTTCAGGATGGACCTGCTTACTATTACATGAAATTTAACTTACCACATCAAAGTAAGAGACAACGCTTATTGCCAAAAAGTCTGTCCGGAGCTTAATTACAAGTAACTAAGTACCTAGTCGCCGGTCACGGTAGCCGAGCGGTCTGAGGCGTGCACTGTCTTCGCTCACTCGGAAGCCAGGATCGTGGGTTCGAATCCCACTCAGGGCATGGATGTTTGTGTGCGTTTTTCTGTGTTTGTCTACAGGTAGAGGCCTTGCGACGAGCTGATCACTCGCCCAAGGAGTCCTACCATATGTGTAAGATCTAGAAAAACCGAAGTGAACGGAACAGTTCATGGAGGTAGGCCTAGGCCCACTCGGGCTGTAGTGCGAAGGAAAAAAAAGTACCTAGTCATCAACACGTATAGGGAGTGAAGGTACAGTTCCCTCTGTCTTAACCCCGGCATTAGATGGAGGGGAGTCATCAGCTTCACCTTCGAGAGAAGCAGCTCCCACTATCCGTTCGGTATGAGGCTGTCTGGGTCTCATAGTAGGTATGGACGATGTGGAGAAATAGAATATCTCTTCCTCCTGTCAAAAATCCAACCCCGAGTCCTTGGATGTCCAGCCTAGTCAATTTATACAGGAAGGTTCTTAACGTAGTTGACGGGTCCACGGCTCTGTGTTTCTCGGCGACCGTTTCACCGCCGGCTGCGAGGCGCATACGAATATTTCCCGTGATTCAATATGCCTGTTGGCCGATAACTTTCGGAATGAAGCTGTTACAATTGATACATCAGAAGAGATGTTGAAAATTCTGTCCCTCTACACATAGATATATTTTTATTATCAATTTTTTCGTTAAAAATCACAGGTCCAACAATCCTGCTTGCACTCACAGCACACCAAACACCAACTTGCACTGGATGAAACGGGACTTCCTGGGTTAGATGTGGATTTTGTGGGTTCCAGTAGCGATTATTTTGCGTATTTATGTATCCCTTCAAGTGATACCACGCTTCATCGGAAGAGAATGTCAACTGCGGATCGATCTCACCTTCGACGACAGGATGTAGAAACCAAATGCAAAAATAAACCCTGGATCATGGAGCTGCAAGGCGTGGATTACTGTTGTTTTACAGGGTCTAAGCTTCGGTAATTGCCGGTCACGGTAGCCCAGCGGTCTAAGGCATGCACCGTCTTCGCTCGCTCGGAAGCCGGGATCGTGGGTTCGAATCCCACTCAGGGCATGGATGTTTGTGTGCGTTTTTCTGTGTTTGTCTACAGGTAGAGGCCTTGCGACGAGCTGATCACCCGCCCAAGGAGTCCTACCGTATGTGTAAGATCTAGAAAAACTGAAGTGAACGGAGAAGTTCATGGAGGTAGGCCTAGGCCCACTGGGGCTGTAGTGCCAAGGAAAAAAAAAGCTTAAGTAATTGTGTTGCCGTTTTTGCTCTAGACTTTGACACTCCAGTATTCTCAACTAGACGTTTTAGTGATTTTCTAGGTGCGTGTTCAAGTTTGACCCCTATGCCATCTAACTTCTCCTCAGCAATCACTCGACGCTTATGTCTTTCCTTCTTGTCTATTATCAGTTCCGTTGTTGCAAGTTAATTAACAAAACTGTGAATTACCTTTCTGCTGGGAACACTATCATTACGAAAATTACGTCGAAATTTTTGCCGAAACTGTCTACCAGATCCGTATTTCACGTGGGTGTCATGCAGAAATAAACATTGCTCCGAAACATACCACACTAAAACGGAACACACTGCTCACTAATTTTAATTGATAGGAAATGGTTAATGGAGCTAATAACTAATGCCTACTGCTCACAAATCATAAACAAATTCCCACGCATAAACCACACTGCTCACCGAGAAATATAAAGCCGTCAAGCGGTCTAGATAGTAACTCCCCTTAATTCAAATACATTTCTTTGCTCTCCGACTGTCGTACGGTAGATGTCGCATGTCGTCACGTATGAAAGCTAAGACTACACTTTATATTCTACTACCTGATGCGACATGAACCGTACGGACGTCGTACGACCAATGTCGCTGTGTGTGTTCCTAGCCTTTATTTCAGTTTAGTCTCATTCTCCAACCGACGTTTACGTCTTCCCAGTTTTTCTTATCTTCAGGTTCTTTTACCACAACTCTCTTTGCACTTCTCTTCTTCCTCATGCGTGCTATATGCCCTGCCGTTCTCACCATCCTTGACGTGATCATTTCTAATTATATTTGGAGAAAAGTGTAAGTTATGAATCTCCTTATTATGCAATTCTCTTCAGTCTCCTATTATTTCATCCATCTTAGATTCAAATATTCTCTTCAGCGCCCTGTTCCAGAACACCTTCAGTCTGTTCTTCCCTTAATGTCAGAGACAAAGTTTCACACTCATACAAAATTACAGGAAAAATTATAATGCTACATATTTTAATTTATCTTTTTCAGATAGCAGAAGAGAAAACAAAAATTCTTAATTGAATGGTAGCAAGCACTACCAGAACTGAATCTCCTCTTAAAATCCTCATGAATCAAATTTAGTTTACTACTATCGTTCCCAAAAATTGTAACTTTGCCACATTTTCAAAGTAATTTTTAGCTGCTTTAATGTTATGATTTTTCCTTGCATTCATTTGACAATACATCAACATATACGCTTAGTTTTCTCTGCATTACTTCTAAACTAACCTTTTAACTATGTTCTGTAATTTTCCTCACGATATTTATGCTATCGCCCAGTAAATTTTCATTATCAGCATAGTCGAAGAGCTAATGTCTCCAATTTAATTTCAATCCCACCTGGCTATCTTGGACCTTCCTAATGGTGTGTTGTATACTAAAGTTTGAAGTAACGACAATAGAGCATCTCTTTGTTTCACACCATTTTGAAGAGGAAAGTACCAGACAAATCTGTATCTATCGGAACTTTAATATATGTTTCATTTAAACGCATTATAATAAGCATAATTATTTTCACGGATACCTCGGACGTAATGAGAATAGTGTACAGTACTTCCCCCTCTCAGCTGAACCACAGACTTGCGTAAAGTCCATGAGTAGCTGATGCACTACAAATATTACCCTTACTTCGAAACTCACAGTGGTTAAGCCCAATAATATCTTCTTCATATAAAATTACCTTAGGGACAATTATATATGTGTAAAATTTCAAATAAATTTGATATAATAATATACCTCGATAATTACAACGGCCAGTTTTATAATTATTCTTGTAAACAGGCACAATAAAAGATTTCTTCCACTGCCGATGCAAATCCTATTTATCAAAGCAAGCTGCATTCTGTATGCAGAATGAATATGATTTATTTGCAAGGAATGTGGAAAATCTAAAAACGAACACGGCTTGTAGGTCTATTTTTTTTTTAAATTTTCATAGTGGGATGTGGAGTCCAGTTGGGTCCACTCGGCGCTGCGGCCACTGATTGGCCTATTGTCCCTGCCACGGGTGATTATGATAATGGAGAATTTGGTGGAATGAAGATTGGCAGGAGAAACCGAAGTACTCGGAGAAAACCCGCCCCAGCGCCACTTTGTCCAATAAAAATCCCATTTAACCAGACCCGGGATCGAACCCGGGCCGCCGCGGTGGGAAGCCATCGAATAACCGCTTGAGCTATGGCGCGGCCCTTGTAGGCCTAGTACCCAAATGTTTATCACGTATGTCTCTTGTCCTGCAGATTGCTGCCGGAGGGTTGGTGTCCCATTTGATTGTCGAGGGTTGCAATCCCAAACAGAGATCAAGCGAGCACACTTACAAAGTAAGTATTCTCGATTTGCTTTAACCAATGCAGTATATCAGTAAAGTTACAATGCGGGTCTCAAACGTTGCTGATTTTAATAGTTAAGTACAGAAAACTGAGAGAAATATAATATAAAATATAAACTGTAAGACCTTACCTTTTTTGTTGTTTATGAAGTTCAAGACAAGTCCCATGCTTCACTTTGCACTTGTCTGTTGCCACACTCAACCGATAACACATGGAATCACAGAGGCAGTGCCTCCTGAACCTCCTGAATCATTCCTTCGAACGGTTCTAGTTATTCATTTTGACACTGAGCGCCACCTGTTCAGTGTAGCCACACAATGCTCAGTTTCGGACGTCTCTTATAACCACAGATTCTGATAAATTGCCATCTGAACGATCTGAACTTTCATGCATTCTTGGCGAAGTTGGGCGAAGCTCCATATACCTGTAAGATCTTATTACAGTTTTCAATGTAGAGTAAGGCGAAAAGTCCCAAACGCGTCTAGAAATTGTTGTGATCAACTAAGTCTTTTGATATTATTCTGCTAGACAGTTACATGCAAATATGGTTACATAAATAATTGGGCGTTCATGTAAAAATCATCTTCTTGCCCTACTTGAAGCAGAAAATCATACACTGCCGGCTATTTAATTCCAGAGCTTCCCGGTCGAATGTGGTAATAATTAGAATACTGTACAAAACGGCAAATAGGACTCAGTTTTAATTTTACTAATAAAACAGATACACTTTGCCCGCAGGTTTCAATCACATATTAATTGGACAAGTATTGTTTTTATAAACATGTAGAATGTGGAGTAAAACACATAATTTTATTAGTCGTTACAATGACTTGCTGCAGAGTTTGTCATGGACAGTGCATTATAAAGAACAAGCTGTAGTTTCGCTATGCTTCACTTTGCCTCTCTCAAGTATCGATGTTGTATTTCGTAGTATGCTTGAACTCTGTTAATGAGTGTCACCTCCCGTTATTACCATTCATAAGCGAACATGTCACTATCTGTTCGGTTTTCGTGCATGGCTATGATTTGCTCTTAAATAGGATTGCTACATTTCCTTTGCGTTTAGTGTACAAAGTGAATGCGTAATAATAAATTTTTGTCCTTAATTCTGCCGTTTACATACGCCACATCACTTGTATTTGGGAAGTGACATTTTATAATTCTTATGTTTAAAGTGATAAATCCTCTGTTACAGGTACACTTGTGTAGCTGGTGGTACTTAATGTCGAAAGTAGTGGAACTGACGGATACCGTAAGTTAATTAACATTTCTGAAGTTAACCACGCTATATACAGTTATCTACTAGACACGTCTTCTTTTTTTCTGACACTGATGATTATTTCTGGCTGCATGTATACACCATTTCCTCCCTTACCTAAGGTTGTATAAATTTATCACGTTAGTTGTGGTCACTGGCTGTGCACTATATCATAGGACCTCGTTGGTTGTCCCTTCTAAATAAAAAAGCAACCAAATAAAACGAATGTTGTGCTGAACATTGGCAGTTCTACTATTAACAGAGTAATTTATCATAATTCATTCCAAAATACCATAAACTTCGTCGGAACGGAAGGCTTGTTAAGAAAGTTTTCACCCCTATGAATTTAATGAAATCGGCAATGTGGCTTTTGGAATTTCAAAAATTATTTCGGAACCTACATTAGAGCTACAACGTAACATAAATATGGGCGCTCAAATAAAATAATATTTATGCATTACAAGCCGAAAGTTCGCGGGTTCAAGTCCCGATGAAGTCATTTGATTTTTTCAGTTGACCTAATCATTCCAGCCGCACTACGGCCCTGGGGTCGACTCAGCCTCTAACAGAAATGAGTACCAGCAATTAATGAAATAATTTTCCTGGGGAGAAAAGTGAGGCCGTTGCGTAAGACTGACAACCTTACCGCCATCTTTGAGCCGATTGTCTAGATAATGCGGGAGCCTCAATGTCTCACAACCCTATGGGGCTTCACGGCCTGTTACAGGGATAGCTTTACTTTTTTTTTTCTTTATGATGTATTTATTTGACGATAGAGTGCTTTCAGTATTATATTTCAGCATCTTGTTGCACTGATATACATATAATACTGAAAGCACTCTATCATCAAATAAATACATCATTCTATGCATGATGTATTTATCTAATGATCAGCACCTTGTTGCATTGATTCCGGTCTAGAGAACTGAGATTAAGGGCCGTGGTGATACGTTGGGCTGACCACGCGTCACCCTCTATCCGCTAAAGATGGCACTAAGTTCGTCGACAAGCGGCGGTCGCTCGGTCGGTATAGTTCGCTTGCGGTCTAAAATCACGGAGTTTTCTTTTTGTTGTTGTCGCACTGATTAATATTATGATTTGCGTGAGCCTCTTTAAGGTGCGCCTTCCTATTCTGTGCGTAGATTGTTTGTATGTTATGAAATATGTTGCAGAAGTGGCACACCAACAGCCTGCTAGCACATCGAGGAATTGCACCTTAAACACTGCACTTTATTCACAGTGGTAATATAAAAAAGTAATGGATACCTTGCGTCCTATGTTACAGGTGGTCTTTGTGCTGCGAAAGAAGGAGAGACAAGTTTCTTTCCTCCATGTTTATCACCATGCTTCTCAAGTATTATTTACGTGGGCCTACCTGAAGTATCTACCAGGTAGGGCTCTGCATACAGTTGTAGTTCGGTTTCAAGGAGGTTCCTTCTGTAATAAAGACAGCAATACACTTTGAAGTGCTTCATATCGGGGTTCTCTACAGTTAATGTTGTACAATGTCCAAGTAGATGTAGAATTCCTTAGAAATTGGGGAAACGAGGTCGGCAGATGTTACAGAGAAGGAGAAAGAATAAACCGGAGAATAAAATAAAAGTAGAGGATTGGAATCACTCACTCACTCGTGGAAGTGAGCCCTTCTTGAGAAGCTGATAATTGTGCAGCCACTCAAGAATTTCGCAGCATTTTATGGAACCCCAGGGTTCATTGCCGTGTTCACAAGAGCACTACACCGAACCTATCCCGATCCAGATCAATCCAATCTAAACCATCACATCCTACATCTCTACAATCAATTTTAACATTGTCCGCCCACCTATGTCTTGGTCTTGCCAGTGGCCTTCTTCCTTCCGGCTTTCCCACCAATATGCATTTGCATTCCTCATCTTTCCTATTTGTGCAACATGCCATACCCATCTCATTCACCT